CCAGCACACCCTCATCAAAGGAGGAGCAGGAACCTGCAGCCAAGGCGAGTGGCATAGGGGAACAGGAAAACCAGACCCGCTTTGCCGAGGCAAGTGGGAGCAGGCGAGACGAAGACCATGCTAGCCGCGACCTGCCGGCGCCGGCTGCGACCTTTACCAGTATCCCCACTCCCGGGGGAAGACGAAAGGTGCCACTAGACCGATGCCAAAAGAGCTCTCCTCTGAGCCTTGCTGAGGCCTGCCCCCCCCCTTTTGAAGGGGCTGATGGCATTCGTGCCTGTCTGCAAGCTCTTTCCATACCTTGGAAAAATTTCTGGGGGCAGCCTGAGGGCATCGTGCCTGCTGCTCTTCTGAGAAATGTCACCAAAGTGCAGGCTCAAGGGCCACCGATCACTGCCTTTCATGTCTTCACGGATGGTTCCAGCAAGGCAGGGAAGGGGGGGTGGGGAGCTGTTCTCTGCGCCCAGCATGACCATCAGGGCGAAATGCCTTTCTCCCTGGTTGGGGTTGCAGGGGGTCCGACGGGCTTACTCTTTGCGCATAACTGTGATGCCGATCACACTAACAATGCAGCCGAAGCGCAAGGGCTTCTGATGGCCACACTCTTTGCCTTGTCCACGGGGCCTGTTCCCTTGCATCTGCACGGGGATTCCAAGATCGCGATTGGCGAGGCAGCAGGGTGGTCGGCCCCAGTTGAGCCTGCAGAGGGACCGGCGTCGCAGGTGCACAAGGCTCTCAGATATGTGACTCAGATTCTGCAAGAGATGGGCAAGCCGTTGGCCCACCACTGGGTCAAAGGTCATGCAGGTTGTGTTTGGAATGAGATGGCCGATCGTGTGGCTGACGCGGGACGCACTGGCAAAATCCGCACTACCCTGGCGCCCTGCGCATGTGCAATTGTCCGTCACAAGTTGTTGCCTTGGGCTTGGATGGCACACAACCATGCCACACTGCCAAGCCTTGATGACATGGCACGCGGCCAATATGAAAAGCCCGATATGCCCAGCCCTGACGATTTGGCGGTCATTCTGAAGGATGTTGAATGCACTGACAAGGTTTCTACCCAGCCCTGCCAGCTCAAGTTCTTGACTGCTAATGTCTGCACTCTTGTGGGCAAAGTGGCGGCTTTCAAACAACAGGGCTCAGAGCAGGGCATTCACGTCATGGCCTTCCAGGAGACCCGATGCAAGGGTGGCCACGTTCCTGGCAAGTGGATCACCTTTCAAGCGGGAGCCAATAAAGGGTTCGACGGGGTTGCCCTTTGGTTCAATTCAGGGGTTGCTTGGGGGCCCAAAACTGGCAGTGTGCCTCTATGCCCAGAGCATCTGTTTGTTCTTGTTCAGGAGCCTACCCTGCTGGCAGTTGCGTGCCAGCATCCAAGTTGTAAGGCCATGTTTGTCTCCTTCCGAGGACCGCATAGCCTGTGCTCTCCCCAACAGATCAAGCAATGGTGGGCTCACTTCCGAGCTGTTCTCAGCCCCTTTCTCGACCAATGGCCCTGTGTCCTGCTGGGGGATGCAAACGCCAAAATTGAACACCCCAGGCCACCATTTGTGGGGGACTTGGGGGTGGGCGAGCAGGATACTGCTGGAGACCTGCTGACTGAGTTGGCAGTGCAATGGGATCTCTGTGTGATGAACACGCAGCACCATGTGATGCGCGGAGTAGCAGCGCAGACCTGGAAGAATAGCAGGCTCGACTATGTCCTGGCCCCCATGGGCTGGGGTGCTAGAGGGTGGGCTTCTCCAGGCAGGAGCTTTGATCTGCTCAATTCACATGAAGACCACATCGCGGTTATCATCAATTGCAGTGTTCCCCCTGCCGGACGCGCACAGTGTCCACCGCCGAGGCGTACCTTTCGGGGTCTGCCCTCAGAGCTGTATGCGGAGGCCATGCACCATGCTGCACAGGTGGAGGTGCCCTGGGGGCAGAATGTGCACCAACATGCGGAGTTAGTGCTTGACCGGGCCAGACGGTGCTTGCACGAAGGCGCTGCCTCTTTGCCGGCGCGGCCTAAGAAACAACACATAAGCGCCGAGGCCCTGACGCTGGTCAAGCAGAAGCGGACGGCAGTGAAGCAGTCTGCGACGGCCAACTGCAAACTCCTCATGGCCCAACGAAAGTTCCAGCTCCGCCGATTCTTCAACAGACGGCGCGCGGAAAGACCAGTGCGCCTTGCAAGACATGTGGCTGCCATTTGGCAACACGTGGTTGAACTGGCCAACCTGAATCTTAAGCGCCAGCTGCGCCACGACAGAGCCGCCTACCTCACCGAAGTCGCGGCGAAAATTGAGCAAGGAGTTTTGAGCAAGAACTCCCAGGAGGTCTTCCATGCGCTCAGGTACTTTCGCCCAGCGTCGAAACGTGTACACAAGCCTTGGGGGCCGCTGCCTATGCTTGAGCGCCCGGATGGTAGCATGGCGGAGACCTTCTTTCAGGCCCAAGAAGTGAAGGCGCGCTACTTCGGAGATCTTGAAGCGGCCATTCCTTTGGCGCCAGAGAAAATTGCTGGCCCTGTGTCTGCTTCTCCCTGCAAGGACACCTTCACGCTCGGTGAAGTGCCTACGCTTCTCGACTTGGAAAGCGGACTCAGAGATCTGCCCAGGCGGAAAGCTCCTGGTGCCTCAGGACTGCCCAACGAGGTCTGGCTGGCAGGCACAGCGACGGCGGCCCGCACATGGATGCCGGTACTCCTTAAGTGCCAGGTGCGCCTCACTGAACCGCTCCGCTTTTCCACCAGCTTGATGGCCACACTTTACAAAGGCAAAGGCACTGTCTTTGATGTAACCAATCATCGCTCAATCTACCTAATGGAGGGTGTAGGCAAAGCCTTCAGAAAGCTCCACCGCCCTCCACTCGTCCAGTCCCTGCAATCCCACAAACCAGGGCTTATGCAGGGCAGCACTCCACACAGTGCCTCAGACCAGCTCACGCACTACCTTATCACCTTGGCTCTTTTGGCCAAGCAGCAAGGAGCATGCTGTGCGCTTCTGTTTGTGGATGCGAGGTCCGCGTTCTACCGCGTGCTGCGTGAACGGCTCATCGGCATGCCTACGTCGGATGAAGAGCTATGCAGCATCCTTAGTCAACTGGGGGTGTCTGATGGAGCCTTTCGAGGAGTCATGGCATGGATCACTGGTGATTCCCTTATGCAAGGGGTGCCTACGCATGTGAGAAGAGTTGTGGCCTCCTGGTTTGACTCGTCTTGCTTTGTCCTGAGGGGCCTGCCCCAGGCCTTTCAGTCAAGGGCCGGCACCAGACCGGGGGATGCTATGGCTGACATTCTGTTCGCATTTGTCCTGTGTGACGCCATGGTGGAGATCAGCACCACTTTGGAAGCTGCCGGGCTGCTTGAGAGTCCAGCGACAACGCCATTGCAACATCCGACGTGGGCGGATGATGTGTGTCTGCCGGTCTTCTCTCGGACCGCGTGTGGCCTTACCAATAGGCTTTCGGCGGTGTGCGCTGTGATGCATGATGCTTATCTCCGCAGAGGACTTGCACCGAACTACACCAGAGGCAAAACAGAAGCCGTCATTGTCTGGGCTGGCAAGGGCAGTACGGCTGCAAAGCAAGGAGTTTTGAAGCAAGGACACCAGGTGCGAGTCATGCCCCAGCTTGACGACCCCTTTGCTTTGTCGGCGGTGCCACGCTACGTCCACCTGGGCACTGTGCTCAGCACGGCAATGAATCCCAAGGCAGACTTTGCTGCAAAACTGGCCCACGGCATTCAAGCAGCTGCACCCGTTGCCCGAAAAGTCCTACGGAACAAGGCGATCCCTCTGAAGGGACGTGCCGAAATCCTTTCCTCGATTGCCTTGTCGGCTGCGACCCACAATACCGGGGTCTGGGTGCCCACTGACCCAGCCCTGGAAAAGTGGACCCAAGGCATCACGTCCATGTACCGCATGCTGCTGCCAGAGGATAGATGGGGTCATCACCCGGATTTTCCTGGCCCTGCTGAGCTCTGTGGAGCTCTCATGCTTCCAATGCCTGCTGCATTGCTTGTTGCAGAAAGGATCAGGCACTTCCTGCGGATTGTACGTGATGACAACCGCTTTCTTTGGGAGCTGTTGTGCATGCATGCTGAATTGTCGGAGGAGGCGTGGCTCAGACAGGTGCGTAAGGACTTAGGCTTTGTGGCCGAATGGGCGCCGGAGATCCTTAGGCCTGAGGTGGTGAAAGCTGCACAAAGCAGCTATGAGGAATTGCTCGCCTTGGCTACTGCCAAGGCTCCTTGTGTAACGCGGGCCTTGAAGCATGCAATCGGCCAGCACACAGCCAAACTGCAGCAGTGGGCCACCTTCCAGCTGAGGGCAAGGAAGCTTGGCCTCAGACCTCCGCCACAGATGCCTGTTGGCGCCAAACACCCCTGTTGGATGTGCGATCAAGTGTTTCCCTCCACGTCCCACCTTGCAGCGCACATTCAAACTGTACACGAGTACTCGCAGCTCGCGCGCCAGTACACTGGGGGTTGCACCACATGCAGGGCCTGCCTCAAGAACTTCTGGGATTCGGACAGATTGCTGCGTCATCTTGCACGTTCGAATACTGGTTGCTTGCCCTTTCTGTTGGCGGTTGTTCCACCGATGGATCCGCATGAATGGGTGCCAGACGCAGGGCCAGCCTCTCACTGGCCTCCTGTGCGGGCAGCTGGCCCTCTCAGACCCTTCACGCAGGAAGACGAGGCCAGCCTTTACGCTAGGCTTTTCGAGCTCGAGCAGTGGGAGGTCCAAGCTCTTTTGCCTAGCCTTGAGAAATTCGACGCAGTCGCCTTTGATGTTGCCAATGTATTATGCGATGTCAGAGTCTCTGACAGAGCGACAGTTCGGTGTACAGATTTTCTTCCGAACGGAACGGCTCTGATTGACTCTTGGCTCCAAACGTGACGGCCTCGGCTTGCATGTTTTTGTTTAGCTTTGCCAGCAAGTGCATTGCTTTCAGCGCGACATGGATTGTCTCTTCGCTGTCCGACTGACTGACTAAACCCCAAACGGCACCTCTTTCTAGGATGGCTTCGGCGACCTTGGAGTTCGGCGGGTCGTAGGTGGCCAGAGCCTCAGATGGCCGCCTAACGGTCTTGGGGGCTTAGGGTTTAGGGTTTAGGGTTTAGGGTTTAGGGTTTAGGGGATTTGTGGTTTAGAGCTCGGGGTTCTTGAGGTTCAGGGTTTAGTGACACCCTCAGTTTGTGAGGGGGTGGGGTTGGGGCCCCATGACAGACCCCCAACTGTGGCTTTTCCTGGGAGCTGGGTATAATTTGAAAAACCATTTCAGACCCCTTGTTGGTTATGGACTTGTCGGTGTTAGCTATGGTTTGGCTCTCTAGTCCACAACGGAAAGGTCGTGAGACCCTTCAGTGAAGGGCTGACGTGAAATGGGTAAGCTGGGAAAGGTCTAGAATGGTCCTATCCCCATTTCAGACCTCCAATTTCCTGACCATCAAGGGTCACCATTCCAGACCCCCACAAGCTTAGGGGATGTTTAGTGTGGGAGGGTTAGGGTTTCAGGGTTTGGGGTTTCAGGGTTCACCGTCTTATGGTTGAGGGGATGTAAGGTTTAGGAGTTTTAGGGCTTCAGGCTTGAGGGTGGTTCCCTTCAAAAGCAGGCGGGACACGTCCAGGATGAAGACTTGGCCCCACTCCTCAACAGCTGCTTTCAACACCACATGGGCACCCTTCCTATCTATCTATACTATATATGTATATTGTATTTACATATATATTATCATTTTTCATTCTAGGACCCACAGGAACCAAAACTCAAAAAACTGGCACAGAAGCAGGGATGCAGCGTGCCCCGTTCCCAAGGCAAGTCTCCGAACACTCGTTGAGCGCGGGAAGAAGGCGCGAGATTACCTCCTGCGGGCAAGTGGTCGCAACCCATCCTTCGGCTGACTTGCTGGTTCTAAGCAGGGACATCGGTGCCCTGTGTCATCCCTTAATGGTTTGTAAGTAGGGATGTAGGGAATCCGGGTCCCTCCTCATCGAGCTTCAGGTAATTCTTCCGTGCGGAGGTCGAGATTTCACACAGGGACGCCACGGCATTTGCAACGACCATCCTGGATGCAATCTGCCACTCTCGATGCCGGCGCTGCAGATTTAGAACTGAAAGGCCCAGGATTCTCACATATCCCATGTCTAGGTGGCCGGCGGATTGGAATCTCCGAGCATGTCCCGCAAGATGTCCAGAAATCCCTGGGGTGAATAGAGTGGAATGCGCCATGATGCGCCACGTCACAACGCAAAAAAAATCAAAGCCACAAACGTGTATGACAAGCCCAGGCTTAGCCCCCAGCCTGATCTTCTACCAGTTCCGGATTGATGTCGTAGAGCTTGGCAATGCAAATTGTCGCAGTTTTGCGAACCCATGCATCCATGTCCTTGCAACTCCTGGAAAGGCTGACACCACAGTATGTATTGCAGTGCATCTACACCTGCAAAACACTGCGAACAATGGCAAAGACCCGAAAAATCAACATCTCGGATCACCTCCTCAACGGATCGATCAAGTACTCCGTCATCTTTTCCAGGCGGATGCAACCCATCGTCCTCACCTCACCCATAGTCCGGCTAGGTCTCTTTCAGCTAGCGTAGGCTACTGCAACACACTTCGATGAACCCCTATGATAGGAACCGCGACATGCCTGATCTTGCAACATACCAAAACTTAACATGTCATAAGATGCCATGACATACATGACATACTACAATACTCCAGCAGTAACAAACCGTAGTATGCTTCAGTACACGCCAGTATACCATTGCAGACGACAGATGCTAGAATACACAAACGTACACCGCAACATACACCAACATGCCGTCATATACTACAGCATACCATACCCTATGGTATCGTAGACATGCACACAGCACACATGCACAAATATATATATATATATATATATACGACAACGTACGAAAAGACACAGATGCACAATGAGACAACGAGCCCAACGTGGCAGCACAGAGGCTCCGACCGCAAGGGCACGCAGCAGAGGATTGTTCGGGTCATTCGCATCCTGGCCACCAAAAAGAGGGTTTCGGGTTTAGGGTTTAGGGTTTAGGGTTTAGGGTTTAGGGTTTAGGGTTTAGGGTTTAGGGTTTAGAGAGTTGCGGGTCTCTGGCTCTGGCTGCTGGATCTGCTAGAGTTATACTGACACTGTTCCTGCAGTGGCCTCCGAAACTCTCAGCTTCAGTGTGGCAACCCTGTTCCTGCAGTGGCCTCCGAAACTCTCAGCTTCAGTGTGGCAACCCTGAAGTCCCAAAGAACACACGGCCTTCCTGGGTTTTTCATGAGAGGGTGCAGTTTGGAGTTTGGGTGTGCGGTCCGTGCGGAAGGCATTGATGGCCAGGATGGCCAAGTCGGGCTGCGCCTGCTCAATCAGCGCAGAGCAGATACGGCCACCCCACATGTTGCCGGCCTTGGCGTAGTTGATCACGTACAGGTACACCAGCTTCCTTACCACCCTAAACCCTAAACCCTAAACCCTAAAAAAGGAAAAACACAGGCGCTCCGGGGTGTCGAAGTCACGGGACAGGACTCGAAGCTTGGATCTTGGGTTCGCTGGATGCCACCCAGGCGCTTCAGGTCTAAGCTGTTCGTCTGCATGCATTTCACGACGTCGGGAAAAAGCGAAGACACATCGTTGCCCAAGGTCATGGCCTGAATGACCTGGAGCACGCTTCAACTGGGACAGCCAAGTCCAGGGAAGGCGACATGATTGCAAGCACACATCGAAACACCTTCCGAATCAATCCACGACTGCCTTCTTCAGAGCCTCCTTCTTTCGATCCTTGTTGCTGTGGTTCAGCTCCTCGAGTTCACACCATGTCTCGGATCAACGCTGAGACGCTGCCGGCAGCAGCCGGAGCGCTCCTCTTTGTACTCGCCTATCTCACCTCTGCGATTGCCCCCATCCTCAGCCAGGCACGTTGCAAGGACGAGTCTGCACGATGGTATCTTTGGCGTTCTGAGCCATCAGCAAAGAAGTTGCGCACAGCCTTCGGCGTTCCCAACTTCTTCATGGCTTCTGCAGCCGAATCAAACCTTACACAATAACAGCTTGACGACTGAGCATGGATCGAGATTGCAGTCGTTAAGTACACCCTCTCACAAATGCAGCTTCGCAGCTCTCATCCCCAGCGTTCTCGCATGGCCATCACAATCTCCCACATCTTTCAGGAACCCACCCGTAACAGCTTAAATCCAACATGGGTACGGGACTCTTTTAGTCGGGTATGATATGTGCAACAATCCGTTGAACAACACCATCCAGCATTCAACAGTTTAGAAGCCCTACTACAGCCTCTCTGGAACATTCACATGACTTTGACCAAGATTTTCTTTGCAGCTGGACCTGACTCCTTGAAAAAAAGCAAGCAGCTGCCGAGTCAACACTCAACATGTCGATTCAGCTACACACCCCAGCACTCAGCTCATCAAAACTGACGCGGGCCACCAAAGCGCCCGTGGAAAGGCCTCAGCTGGTCACAGTGCAACAACATAGCCCATTCCACGCATGCTGAAACTGACAAGTTCGTGAAGTCGTGTCAGCTGACACTGCCCAAAGATAAATGCGAGCATACAACCACTCTCTGCGGCCAGGTCGCGATCTGCCAGCTGCTCAGACTTCAAGTCTTGGCCCTTCCGCACCAAGATACCTCCTTTATCAGCGCCTCCCACCACCTGAAAAAAACAAAGAGTCGGCATGAAACGCATGTCATTCAAACAAATGACACGGGCCTCCCATTTCGACATTCTGATTCGGGCACCTTGGCAAGCATGCCAGCATGCTCCTACGTGCCACACATGGCAAAGGTGGCCATTGGCAGCCACGACGCTGACTTGTGATAGCTGGGGTGCCGACCTCAAACGGTCTAACAGTCTAACGTACTATCTGTACCGGATACGGCTTCGGAGCGTTACAGAAGCGCGTAGTGCTGCATGCGAAAATGGCAATCAGTGCGCCAAATTGCGCCAACATTTGAAAACTAAAGTGTGGGTACTTCGGACGCGCACCGGTGGATGTGAAGGGGGAGCTAGCCACCGGCACAGTGTCCATCACGCAGCTGCCTAGCCTTTAAATTCCCAAAAACCCGGTGATCTTTGCCTTTTGACATCTGTATTGTGAAAGGTTTGCGTGGGAGCGTCACACTCCCAGGGCATTTCGGAGTTCCGTGCCAGGCGTGAACTTGCACAACGCAAACGATATGCCAGTCTGTCGAACCAGCACACAACAACACATTCTCCGAGCATCTTTTTATCCTCGGCGCCCAGGAGGCTGCGGCACGGCCGCCGCAACGGCACGGCACTCTGCCTGAAGTCGGTCTGTAGGTGCGCGGAGTCAAGGCCGAGGCTGTTAGCACTTCAGAAAACAACTAACGAAAGATTGCTTTGGGTCTTTGCAGTCTTTGGGCATCAGGTCTCCACGTGAACCGTTTCAAGGCCTCTATCTATCTACATGGGATTTTACGGGGCGATTCCTGAATGGCCGGTGAGTTAAAACCTTGAAAACAGTTTTGGCTTTCGTATGTCCTTATTTTCCGAAAGCGATTTTCCCTCCCTTAGTTTCCATGTGCAGTTTTGGCGACATGTGGGACTCATGTTTTTAACAAAGGGGAGTGATTGTTTGAATTTGTGGAGAGAAGTTTGATGGGCATGCGCATGAACCCGTCCTTGTAACGAGTGGGCTCGGGCGCTCGAGGTGACAAGAGTAAAATTTTGGAACCCACCCACCCGCAAAGCGTCCGCAAAGCGTCCGCAAAGCGTTCGCGAAGCCTTCACTCCCCCTCCTACCCTGGTCGCGAAACGCAGAACTGTTGCGATTTTTCGTTTCGGCTTTGGTCCTCGCGTCTCAACGTGTCAACAATCACAGGGATCGGGGGGTCCTGGTCGCGGAGCGCAGAACTGTCGTCACTTTTGGACTCGCTCTGGTCGGCACGTCTGAAAAAGTGCCAACGGTTACAGGGATCGGCGGGTCCTGGTCACGAAGCGCAGAACTGTCGTCGCTTTTTGGACGAAGGCTCTGGTCCTCACGTCTCAAAGTGACGACTGAATCTCATATGCATTTGCTGAAAAAAAGGTAACTGCCATGCGCAAACCCTCATCAAGTTGAACTCGAGGCGATCTGCACGAGATCGCTAAAGCCCTATGTACCCAAAGCCCCATATCTAGGACTCGATTAACCGAGCCTAGGGCGACCTCGGCAATAAACAGAATCGAGGAATTGGGGCGCAAATTGACATTGCATTTGTGGGCCCAGAGAGCCAATATTCCTCAATGCAAGGATTGCTGCTGCTGAGGCTCGCGCATTCCGAGAGCACAAAGAGCCATGCCATCGGATGCGTCAATGATCCCAGACTCTCGCCTAGAAGTCCGATTCCGCCAATTGACCGCACACCGGCTCTGATCTTTGGCAAGGGTATTGGGATTTCATGAAAACACGCGGCAAAAAACTGCCGATGTGGCTGGAACTCTCATGAGGTGCAACCAAGACCAAGCAAAACGAAACGAATGGCGGTGAAAGCGTTTTTGCACTTCTGCTGGCTCAGGTGTAGCTTCGCGCAAACGTCTTCGGCGACTGCAATCCTGTTGATTGAGGACTTGTCGTTTTGGGGCTGAATCTGAATATGGCCACGAAACTGAGCACATGCAAAGACAACCCGAACTTCAGGGTTGTGGCCAGGTCTGGGCTTGGGGCTGGGATTCAGAACTCCAGGTCCATACTGACCCGCACGTAGCCTCTGGAATGCGACGCGGAAACCCCCTGGCAGGGTGCACTGCTCAGCTTTTTGGCACTGTCGACAGCCGATGCGTCCGGAAGCAACACATCCTCCAAGTCGCCGGCCTGGTCAAAGCGGTGAGAAGTTTTTTGTCAGGCGTTGCTGCGACTTCCCACTGGCTTGGGTCCTGTTAAAACCATAAAAGCCACCGCTCCATGGTCCCGGTAACCCCGGTATCCGCCTAGAGGGTTTAGGGACTCTAGGGGGTTTAGGGACTCTTCTGATGCGGAGTGGGCGGTGCCAGCCTTTGTAACCTTCGAAGTGTGTTTCTCCGGAGGTACGATGTTTGCCCATTTGAGAGTGTGGGGGTTTGGGGAATACATCTGTCCGTCCCTCCTCCGAACTGTTGAACTCAGCCTGTGGCCCTTCCTGCAAACTTTGCACGCGTGCTCAATAAGATCACATTGCTTTTGAAAGGATGGGATTTACATCGAATCAAACTGTTGCTTCTTGGAACGCGGGGGACGACATGGATCTGTGCCGAGCATTTGGGTTGAGAAGAACGACATTTTGAATTTTTTGTCAGTGATTGAGCCCTAAACTACGCGTGGCCGTAGGTGCTCGCACACCCCCCCCCCCGGGTCAGCTATGCGCAGCTTCTTCAAAAGAATGTCGCCTCTACTTCTCGCAACCAGGAGCTCTTGGAAGACTGAGCTCAAAGGGTTTAGGGTTCAAGTAGGGCTTGCAAGGCTTCGAGCCTAGGGCGTCGGATCTGTGGTTTTTGAGCAGGGCAACCCAAACAGACAGCAGGATTCTAGCGTTGTAGGCTTCAGGTTTAGGGAATTCAAATGGCCCCCTGAGTGCAGTTTAAAGCGTGGTGCCCTTTTAAGGCGGCTAAAGAGATTTGAATGTCATATGTAGGACTTTTAGAGTCAGGGTGCGAGGCAGACCTACAAGTTTGCGTATGAACAATACTGTATATGCATACATCTACATCATGCTACCACGAGTACTAAGCATCACACTAGCAGTCATGCTTTGGGGGGTAGAGTCACGGGCTGTGAATTGGCTTTCATAACTATTGCACACCTGCAGCACCCATGGTCTTCAGTTCCCCCCACGTAGCCTAGACATAACCCATGCACCTCTGTTTTGCATAAGCCTGACTCGACGTTCTGGGGATCTTCATCTTGAGCAAGCCCAAGCCCCAAACTCCAAGCCCTGAGCCCTAAACCTCGTGAAGCCTATAAACCCTAAACCCTGATTGAAATTGCATTTGCTGCTGTCGGGAAAGTCTTACTGCCACATATTTTTGACAACGTCAAGTACCATACTTTGAGACCTGAGAATAATTTCGATCTACCGAAAGTAGCCATGCAAGTTTCCTTCGCAAGACAAGCAATGATAACCCATCCAAGAACCCAACATGCAGGAAGCCCTGTCCCTGCCACGTTGTTGGAGCACGGAACATGAGAAGCCTGAAAAAGCCCACGGAACACGACTTCCACCTCTTCCGCGCCATGATACGCCATGTAGAACCCTACACTTTACCCCCACTCTTTGCAGCCTCGTCACCACCAGCGCAGCGCGGCGGGCAGCTCGCTCGCGGCGCGCCTGGAAGTGAACTGGTGAGATGAGTCTGTAGCGCAAAACCCGAAACCCTAACCTTGAATGTGTCACTTCTGGCGCGACCCGACTCGGCGAGGCGCCGACGGAGCAGCACGCCGCGCCACCACGTCTAGGATTGGGGGGCCCCACCGTAAACCCGGAACCTTAAACCCTGAACCCCTCAGCCCAGAACCTTAAAGTAAACCCAATGCCAAGAAGCCTGGTTTGGTGCCTCATCCCCTCGGGTCTGAAGCTTCAGCGATCCAAGAAAAATCTTGAACCCTAAATCCTCGAGCCCGCAAGCCTTCAACTTCGAACTTCATGGCCGTAATCCCCTCAACCCTCATTTCAATTTTAGACGCTCTAGGAACCACTTGCTGCGCTGCACTTGCCCTAAACACTGCATGCTTTCAGACAAGAACGGGATTGACCGTAATCGTTGGGATATGTTGGGTGGCTGAAATGAGAATCACGTCCTCCAGATTTCTATGTCTCGCTCTCTCGCTTTTCGCCTTCTCTCGCGTTGATTGCTTTTGTAGTTGTGCTTTTGTAAGATCAGCCGCAGGCTCAACTTTCTGGCTTTGCAAAACGGCCACTTACTTTCGGTGTAGCCAACCCTTACTTTTGGAAGCATCTTTTTTTTCAGTTTTCGCATTCTTTTTTGAGCTACTACGCCGAGTACGATGTGGTCAGGGGTTCAAGGCGGGATTTCGATGTAGCATGATGGAGGGGGTCAAGACCATGTACCGCAGTCCACCCAAACTAGAGCTGAGAATGCTCCTTGCGGGCTCCCCGCAGCCCTAACATGCCACTGCGCCTGCATCAAAACCTTTAGGCCACGCAGGTGCCTGGAGGCGCTGCGTGCTGCGCAGCTGCGCGCGGCGTGCCTGCCCACAAACATTCGCGACAGCACGCTCCAGCAGCACGTGCCCCCGAAACCTCATTTCGACTCATTCCTCTAAACCCCTTGCAACATTTCAGCCTTAGATCACGAACAGCTGAAGCCGCGACAACCCGCGTGGCGGGGGGAAGAAGGGCCAAGGTTTCGGCAATAGGGGGGTCTGCGAAGAAACTCAGAACTCCATCTCCACACCCCGCCTGGCGGGCTCTTTGCATCCAAACCTTTGTTGCCCCTCCCCCCCACCTGAACCCAAAAATACCCAGACATGCGAGACCAAGACTCGCCAAACCTTACTGTGTGCCCTAAACATAATACCACACAATCCAGAGCAGCGCCGAACCCGAACCTTGAATGTGTCACTTCTGGCGCGACCCGCGCCCTAAACATACAGCCTCACAATCCAGAGGGGCCTGAATTTGTCACTTCTGGTGCGACCCGCCTCGACGCGGAGGGTCGCAAGCTGCTGCCGCCACCAGGTCTAGGATTGGGAGGCCCACCGTAAACCCGGAACCTTTAACCCCAAACCCCGAGACGCAGAACCTCTTCAGCGATCCAACAAAAAGGTTCTTTAACCCTAAATCTTCGTGCCCGCAAGCCTTCAACTTCGAATCTAATGGGCATAATCCCCTCAACCCTCATTTCAGATTTAAACGCTTTAGGAACCACTTGCTGTGCTGCACTTGCCCTACACATCACACGCTTTCAGACGAGAACGGGAATGACCGTAATGGCCACGCAGGCGCCTGGAGGCGAAGGGCTGCACGCTCCGTGGTGCGCCGGGCCTGCCCACAAACCGACAGCACGCTCCAGCAGCACGTGCTCCCGAACCTCATTCCGACTCATTCCTCCAACCCGCTTGCAACATGTCAGTCTTGGCTGCCTTAGATCACGAACAGCTGAAACCTCGACAACCCGCGTGGAGGGGGGAAGAAGGACCAAAGTTTCGGCATGATGAAACTCAGAACTCAATCTCCATGCCCTCAACTCTAAACCCCAACCCTCAGGAATCGCGGACCCGCCTTCCGGGCGGCTTGCATCCTCCGGATCATCGCCTGCGGGGACCCGCCCGGGTGGAGTGCAATCCCCCCAACCTGAACCCTAGACCAAGACTCACCAGAGCACTCTAAACATTAAGAGCAGTGCAAAATCATCCGCGCCTCCACCGGGTCCGCGGCAGGTTGCGGGCTGTCCTTTCAGGGATACTAGCGGGGTCGAAGAAGGGGATCGAAAACCCTCCCCAAGAAGGCCCAAAAAGATGGAAACCCAACCCCCCTCCCTCCCCCCCAAATCGACCCGCAAGAACCTAACGTAAAAATGTAATGTCTAATGCGTGCCCGGAATATGCATAGAGGCTTGGCGCCAAGAAGTCTCAGGAGAGGTTTAGGGCTCGGGATGCTAGCGAGGTGACTTGCAACCTTGTTTTTGCCTGGATGCAACTTAGCTTTTGCTTTCTTGTATGTTTTTTGTCTCAGGGCCTCGAAGCTCTGCCCCCGGTAAGGGAAGGCCCTCCGCCCCAGCTGCAGGCAAGCAGCGAACCCTACAAGGAGGCGCTGGGTGGCAGACCCCACAAACCCACGCAGTCCAACCAAGTCCAACCACACCCCTGCTTGCCGGCCTTCAACCCATCTTTTAGGGCTTATAGGTTTTCAACGGGTGCCCTAACGGGCTGGTGGAGGATGATGTCTTACGATGCAAGGGGTTTAATGGTTCAGGGGTTTGGGGATTCCTGCACCCCAAACCTTAAACCCTAAACATAAACCCCAAAACCTAAACCCGGCGACCAAGCTGCCCCGTGCGGTGGCGAATTGGGCGCATACTTGGCGCGGATGTACCGCTCCTCAGCTTAGATTCTTGGGAGTTTAGGGTTTAAAATCCAGGGGTGTAGGGCACCAAAGCTGCGGGGTGGGGGAGGGTTGAAGGTTTAGGGTTTAGGGTTGAGGGTTTAGGAGTTCGGGTTGAGGGGGATGTAAAACTGAAATGCCTATGGGATATGGGCTTGGTGGTAAACTTGGTGGTATGCCCCTAAACCTGTAGGGGTTGTGAGCCTAGAATAGGGGCACATTTGCCCCATTGGGGGTTCTTGAAGTGTTACTGTTTAGGGTTTAGGGTTTAGTTGCCCAAACCCTAAACCCTGAACCCTGTCTTACGCTGAGCCTCACGTGGCGAACCAGGGGAAACCACAAAGAAGGGTTTAGGGGTTGAGGGTGTAGGTTTAAAACAGGTATAGCCAACCAGACTTCCCATGAACAAGTAAGCCTCAAGGCATTGGCTTTGACCCCGAAGCTCTGCGCCCTAAACGCTAAACCCTAAACCCTAAACCCTAACCCTAAACCCTTTAAACCCAAAGCCCTAAACGATCGGAGAGGCACCAGGGTCCCGCGGGAAGCACCTCGGGGAGGCGGTGGAGGCGCACCCGCCTGTGTTAGGAGGGCATTGGCCTGAAGATTGCCTCGGCTGGGGCTGCATAGGCTTTATTTAGGGTTTCGGGCTTAGGGTTTAGGGTGCAGGGTGTAGGGTTGAGGGCTGAAGCCTCCCCTACTCCCTTAAGGACCCTAGAAGGGTTTAGGGGTTTGGGGTTTAGGGCGTTCGGGGTTTAGGGTGTAGGGTTGAAAGTGTGAGTAGCGGTTAGGGATTAGGGCTAGGGGTCATAAGGGTTGTTTCATGGGTAGATACGCCTCCACAAATGTGTAAAACGGTTACAGATCCTAAGCCCCAGGGCTCCCCCGAACCCGAAGAGCCTTGAGTGGTGTATGTTTCGGGTTCAGGGTTCAGGGTTCAGGGTTTAGGGTTCAGGGTTTAGGGTTCAGGGTTCAGGGTTTAGGGTTTAGGGTTTAGGGCTTAGCATTTGCAGGCATTGGGGGCTTCGTACTTGCTGGCTTGCAGTCCCTCATCAAACCAAGCCCTAAACCCTAAACCCTAAACCTTGGGGCGACGAAGCTTGCCAAATGCATCAGAGCCACCACCCTTGGACGCGAAACTCTGGAGCTCCTCGCCACGCCAGCTGTCCAACTGTGTGGACTTGACCTGGCTTCGGGAGTTGCTATAGGGTTTATAGGGTTTAGGGGTTAGGGCTAGGGTTTAGGGTTTAGGGTTTAGGGTCTAGGGTTTAGGGTTTAGGGTTTAGGGTTTAGGGTTTAGGGTTTGGGGTTTAGGGTTTAGTTTAGGGTTTAGGGTTTAGGGTTCAGGGTTCAGGGTTCAGGGTTCAGGGTTTAGGGTTAGGGGTTTAGGGTTTAAAGCTAGGGTTGGGGTCTAGGGCTAGGGTTTAAGGGTTTAGGATCTAGGGTTTAGGGGTTTAGGGGCTTAGTTTTTTTGGGAGTCGGGGTTCGGCTGTGGGAGCGCGGGTGCTTAAGGTTCGGGATTCGGATTGGTTCCCAGTCTCAGCCCTAGACTCTTACACCCTCAACCCCAAAAACCTGAAAGCCTAAAACCCTCAACCCTGAACCCCTAAACCCTAGCCCCTAAACCCTAAACGCTAAACCCTAAAACCCTCAACCCTGAACCCCTAAACCCTGAACCCTAAACCCTAAACCCCAAACCCTAAGGCCTGAATCCTGTTTCCTCAACGCTTTGAACCCCCACCCTCGCCACACCCGGCACTTAGAGGGTTTAGGGTTTAGGGCTTAGGGTTCTGGGGCTTTGGGGTTTTTCAGGGCTTCAGGATTTTTAGGGTTTTTAGGGTTTGAGGTTTTAGGGTTTAGGGCCAGGGTTTAGGGTTTAGGGTTAGGGTTTAGGGTTAGGGTTTAGGGTTAGGGTTTAGGGCTAGGGTTGAGGGTTTAGGGTTTAGGCTGCGGGGTGCAGCTGTGACCCTGCCTGAACAATTAACCTAACCCTAAACCCTAAACCAAAAACCCGAAGCCGTAAACCCTAAACCCTAAACCCTAAATCCTAAGCCCTAAACCCTACCCTAAACCCTAAACCCTAAAAAGAAGATATCGTGAGAGCTGTGACGGCTACGAGTGAAGGCGTTTTCCGGAGCGTGTGCAGCGAAAGCAGCGCATGGCGCTGCGCTTGCAGTGCTTCGGCTTCCGACATCCAGACCCCGGCTTTGTCACCCTAAACCCTAAACCCTACACCCTAAACCCTAAACCCGAAACAGCCCAAGCCCTAATCCCTATATATGGTTCCGTGTCCAGGTCGGTACCCCCCCCCCCACCCCCCCCCCCTAAACCCTAAACCCTACACCCTAAACCCTAAACCCTAAATCCCTCAACCCCTCAACCCTAAACCCTAAACCCTCAACCCAAACCCCAACCACACCACCCCACAGCGGGGCCCAAACCACAGGGGGGCGGGGCGCGGTGCGGACCCTAAACCCTAACCCCCAAACCCTAAGCCCTAAACCCTAAACCCCAAACCCAAACCCCAACCACACCGCCCCACAGGGGGGACCACAGGGGGGCGGGGCGGGGAAAGATTTTGGGGGGGGGGGCCATGGGGGGGGACCATTGGGGGGGGGGGGGGGGGGGGGGGGGGGCAGCGACGCTGCACCATACAAAGACCCTCAACCCCGAACCCTTTCCCGACCTTGGAGATGTGGGCCCCAAGGGAGCGATGTGTGCCGGCGCAGTCGATGCAGATCAGCACGCCTCCAGGATTTAGTTTCGGGTCACCCTAAACCCTAAACCCTAAACCCTAAACCCTAAACCCTAAACCCTAAACCCTAAACCGCTTCCCCTTTAAGGGGTTAGGGTTGATGGTTTCGGCTTTGGGGTCTCGGGCTTCGGAAAACAGAGCCCTTTGGGGGCACTAGCGGGGGCAGGAGGTTTGCAAGAACAGGATTGCGGTCTAGGTGCAGGTCAAGGGATTTTTGCCCCCTAAACCCTAAACCCTAAATCCTAAACCCGAAACCTAAACCCTAAACCTATTCAGACTCACGCTCTCTCTCTCTCTTCTCTCTCGCTCTCTCTCTCGCTCTCTTCTCTTTCTCTCTCCCTCTCTCTCTTCGCTCTCGCTTCACTCTCTCTCCTCTCTCTCGCTCTGTCTTCTCTGTCTTCCTCTCTCTCTCTCTCTTCTCTCTCTTCTCTCTCTGTTCTCTCTCACTCTCTCTGTCTCTTCTCTCTCTCGCTCTCTCTCCTCTTATCTCTCTTCCCTCTCTTTCTCTCTTCTTCTTCTTCTGCTGGGCATGAGGAAGCCCGAAGGCTTCCCCGCGCTCCAGGCGCGCCCGAGTGCGAGGTCTACGTGAGACTGCTTGCCGCCCGGGTTTCTCTCACTCTCTCTCTCTCTCTCTCTCTCTCTCTTTCTTTCCCTTCTCTCGCTCTTCTCTCTCACTCTCTTCACTCCTTCCGCTCTGTTTTACCGTTACCGTCGCTTCCTCGAGCGCATTCAAAATGGCTAAACCAGACACCGGCAACTGCACAAACCTTTTGTCTCTCCTCAAAGCAACATAAGCGTTAAGGCCCTGAACTGAACTTTGAAACTGGGCCAACCCCAAACCCTAACTAGACGCTAAGCTTAAACCTCGAAGCCCCGTGAAGCCCCACAAACCCCCTAAACCCCTAAGTCCTAAACCCCTAAACGTCGAAGCCCTGAACGACCTAAACACAAAACGCCTGAACCTAAACCCTAAACCCTAAACCCTAGCCCTAAACCCTAAACCCCAAACCCCAAACCCCGAAACCCTTGTTGCGTCCCAGGGCGCCGTGATTTACCGAGGCCCAGTCGGGGCAATGGGCACCGCAGTCTGCGCATTCCATGTTCCCCGGGAGCATCTGGAGCTCCTCTTGCTCTTGGGGTTTAGGGTTTAGGGTTTAGGGTTTTGGGTTGAGGCTTCAGGGTTCAGGGCTTAGTGTCAAAAGTGCTCCGAAATCAGTGCAAATAAGGTCATGTAAAGTGTTTTGGAAATACAGCAACATACAAGAACAAACTGGCATGGGTGTTACAAAACTGTTTAGAATTGCTAGTCACTTTGCATGAAAAGTATGCCGATAACTTCGTAAACTTAACACTTTTGCACGATGACGCTGAAGACCCTAAACCCTAAAGACCTTCTTTGGACTAAACCGAACAAACTGAAAGGAAGAGCAACAAGGCATTGGCATGTGGAAAGCGGTCCGAGCCCATCCGGCCACATGGATTTCGCAACCACTGATGTACTGTAGCCTTTGGACTTTGGAGTTTTTTATGGTTGGAAACAACAACCATAAAAAGAATTCCTAAAGGAATACAGTCAGGGGATGCTCTGGTGGCAACGGATGGTCTGGTAGCAAGGTCGCTGTCGTTTCCTGATTCGGGTTTCCGATTCGGGTTTCCGATTCGGAGTTTCCGATTCACGCTGGTCTCTGTTTCCCGCGGGGTTCTGCCCTGGAGGCTTACAGCGGTTGGGAGTTTAGAGTTGCTGTTTTGCGAAGATGTATGCATTATGTAGGACCATCACGTCACGTCGCAAGTGTTGCCACCCAGCTTTGATCATCCTCAGATCTGTCTCTCTTGCCTTTTAATACGTGTTTCTATTAATTCTTCTTTGTTGGTTGTTCTGCCGTCTTGCTTCTTAGTTGTTATTCCTTATTCTTCTTTCTTGTTCTCAGCGAGTGCGGGGATCTGTAATTGCCCCCTCAACCAGCGTCTGCGCGCGCTTTCCATCTGGGTACCGTGGTCGGCCAACAAGAGGATACTCTCACCATCTCGCATCTTAGATGTTCATGCCTGCTCTCGCCTGATCGCCCTGGGATCCCAGCCCAGCCGAGCAACCAGTGATCAGTGGTGACACTGTGAGACAGGGTTCTTTGGAGCTCTCTGAAGTGAGGACAACGCCAAAGCGCGCGGGGCTTGCCGACAATTAGGGGTACGCGTTTCGGAATCCCTTTCAGAGATTTCAAACTACTTGGGTATACTTGGGTATGAACCTGTCTTGGAAAATTCCCTCACGGTCCAGCAAAAGCGGAGCAACACTAAACCCCTAAACCCGGCGATGCAGAAGCCAACGAAAAGCGCAATCTGCGGAACCAAAACCAGCACGAATCATAAAATGCGAATCGGAAACAGCGAAAAAACACCAGCCATCAGAAGCATGCCTGTTCGTGATCGACCACCGTCGCGTTGTCGTCGTCGTCGTCATGTTAACTTTCTTCCGTTCACTCTTTGGTGTGTGTGTGTGCGTCAGCTAACGTAACGGCCCTGCTGTAATCAGGTACATGTCTCATGACACTAGCTGAGGAAATACTCAGGAACATGCCATGCGGCAGTGCATTTTGTAACATAATAATATTAAGGGCGCACTTACTTCGTTCATTCACTCGCAAAGGTTCGGCATTTGTTCTTTCCTTGCAAAAGACGCTCATTTCATTCACGTCGTGCCTCACACAAGTATTACTAAGGTTCTTCCCGTGTTCGCTGCGCTCACTACGTTCACTGTGCTCACACTTTATAATAACGTAGTGCGCGAGTGAAACGAGCAAACGATCCGAAAAAGAAAGAGTGTGTGCGCTCTCTTTTTTCTCGCGCGTGCACTACGTTCATGACGTTCATCTTGTTTGTTCACTTACTCACGTCATAATCGTCTTAATATCGTGAGCCCCTGCGAATGCCCGTAAAGGGCTTATGTCAGGCTCACGTCAACTACGCGACGGACCCGGTTCGTTTGCCGTAAAGAGCGAAGTTTGGGCAAAGTGCCTACTGTCACGCTCACTTCAACTGTGCGTCGGCCCCAATTCGTTTGCCGTAACGTTTTGTCAAGGCTGCAAAATGTCAGGCCCACTTCAATGATGAGTCGGACCCGGTTCGTTCGCCGTAAATAGCGAGGTGTTGTGAAAGTGGCTTATATTAGGCTCACGTCAACTATGCATGGAACCCAATTCGTTTGCCGTAGATAGCGAGGTTTTGTCAAGGTGGCTTCTGTCAGGCTCACTTCGACTATGCGTCGGACCCGGTTCTTTTCTAGGTTTGGTCAAGCTAGCTCATGTCAGGCTCACTTCAACTGTGCGTGGAACCCGGTTCGTTTGCCGTAAGAAGCGAAAGGTTGTGAAGGTGGCCTATGCCAGGCTCGCTTCAACATGCTTCAACTATGCGTCGGACCCAAATCGTTTGCCGTAACTAGCGAAGTTCTGTCAAGTGGCGCATGTAAGGTTCACTTCAACTATGCGTCGGACCCAATTCGTTTGCCGTAACTAGCGAAGTTCTGTCACGTGGCGCATGTAAGGTTCACTTCAACTATGCGTCGGACCCTATTCGTTTGCCGCAACTAGCGAGGTTTTGTCAAGGTGGCCTATGTTAGGCCCACTTCAACTATGAGTCGGACCCAGTTCGTTCGCCGTGAACAGCGAAGTTTTGTCAAGGTGGGCTATGTCAGGCTCACTTCAACTATGTGTCGGACCCGGTTGGTTTGCCGGAAGTAGCGTTTTTTTGTGAAGGTGGCCTATGTCAGGCTCACGTCATGTAGATGGAAACGCAAACCCCCCAAATCGACCTGTTGGGTTCGGACGGAAAAAACCTCCCAAGAAGAAACAAGGCCGTTGGGAATGAAATGGCCATCTGCACCTGAAATTCCCGAACCCTAAAACGCTCCATGAGCCCACCCCCTAAAGGCCTTGAAGCAGAAGAAGAAGAAGAAGAAAAAAAATTAAGGCCACCAACTTTACCAAAAAAGAACCCCTCCCACAATGCCACCAAGCCCCTGACTAGAACGTGGAGCCCTAGAGCCCTGAAACATGCTAAAACACCACAGATCCAGGCCTCCGCGTGAGAAGATGAGGCGGGCATCTGCAGGCATTGGGGTGTACTGAGGTAAGGCTTGCGTTGAGTAGGGTTAAAGGTTTAGGGTTTAAGGTTTAGGATTGAAGGTTTTGGGCTTAGGGGGTCTCTTGGATTTCTGGGCGTATGTCTTGGGGGCAGGTTTGAGGGACTCACAAGAGAAGAGCACTGAAAGGCAAACTCAGCCCAAACCTCGACCGTGCCCCCTGCCATACCAGAACAATGAAGAAGCGGAAAAGCTGGTTTAGGGCTTAGGGTCTAGGAAGGTTTTTGATTAGGGCTTAGGGTTTGGAGCAATCAACCTCGGATCGCAGCCAAGCGGCCGCACGCAGGAAAGGCAGGATGGCGAGGCAGGCCTGCCGAGGCCCACCCTAGCCCTGAACCCTGAACCCTAAACCCCCAACCCTAAAACCCACGTGCAGGCCCTGGAAAAGTTTGAGGCTTCCTTTCAAGGTTTTGAGAAGGGCTAGCTCCTAAGCCTGGGGGGATGGCGTGCTAACCGTAAGGAGTTTTTGTGCGATTTGGAATTATGGTGTCCAGTTTGTGACGCGGTGGAATTAGGGTTCAGCCAAGCTTAAGCTTGTGCGGCACTTTTGCGCATGACGACGCGTGCCTCCAAGATCGCCCAGCATCACATGCACGTGCACTAAACAGGCCCCAGAAAGACGAGCCACAAAAGCGACGGCGGAAGAAGCATCAACGAATAATCGTCACATTTCAGTCAAACGCAGTTGGAAAGCTCGGCACAATTCTCAATCACAAAGACCAATCAGTCACAACACTCGGATGTGATTTGATGGAAAATGCTGTCGCATGGCCTCCAGTTCCTGACACGGATGTAGGAGCCGGCCGCCGCACAACTGAAAATGGTGATGTTTTACTTTGCGTGTTCACAATTCGCTTGGCCTGCACTAGGAGGTCCTGACGCTTTGCTTTCCTCATTTGACATCCGCCGCGCTTGGAAGCACGGCGCCAGCACTGAAAGAGCGAGTGGTGCTTCCAAAACACACAGCTCCATTTCAGAGTCGCTAGGCCCGCGGTGTGCACAAGAAGGCGCTGCAGGAAGTGTCCCCTCATAGTGGAGGTCCCATCAATCCCATCCTGCCAGGCGCCTGCGATTCCGGAGCTAGGTTGTTTCGACTCCCGCCCGCCGCCCCGCGCTCGCCCGCGCCCCCCGTTTGTGCGCCGCCCGCCCGTGCCCCGCCCCCGCCCCGCCGCCCGCCCGCACCCACCCGCCACGCCCTGCCACACGCGCCTGGCCCCTGCCGCCCCCGCCTCCACAAGCGTCCTATTCCAGTACAAACATATACTACTGCTATGCATGGCTCTCTGCGGTTGTACACGCGCGCCCGCCCTCTTGCCAACTTGGCGGCCTTGAAGGAACCTCAGCGCCTTCACCACGGCAACTTAACTACAGGGACTCTTGAAGACCCTGAACACAACTCAGTGTTCCAAAAAGACTTCTGTCCCTCTCAGAAGGACAGTTGCGCATCCCTCCCCCTAGACGACCCTGATACTAATGCAACAGTCCAGGTTTGTTGCAGTGTTCTGGCTGTTCGGTTCAAGCTTTCTATTGTCAGCAAGTTGCCATGATAAAGTTGTTCCATTCAGAGCAAGAGTCCATTGAAGCTTGGAAGTGAAGTGAACAGCTTATTCTGCAACAGATGATACCCACATACAGTCTAGTCCCGATTTATCGACTCTGGGTAAACTGAAGGTCTCGCTGCAATGAAGGAAACATGCGATGCACAAACAGCTCCCTTTCTTCCATTTTTGCTTCATTTCATCGATGTTCTGCAGCACAGACATTGCCCAGAGGCTGACATAGTGCTTCGATAAACCAGGGCTAGACTGTATCTACGTTAGGCGCGCATTCAAGGCCCGTGCCCCTGAAAAGGTGCTTTTGTAGTACAAACATAGTATTGCCGCGGTTAAACTCATCTTTTCGTCCTTTCGCTCTCTAAAACCGTCGTTTGCTAATTAGTACAAACGTGGTACTGCTATGGCTTTCGGCGGTGGTACGCGCGGGCGCACATTTAGAACCTGTGCCTCTGAAAAGGTCCGTTTGCAGTACGAATGTAGTACTGCTATGGCTCTCTGCGGTTGCACGTGCATAGATCTGGGGCCCCCACCCCACCTCCAAAATCGTCCTTTTCTAGTACAAACGTAAGGCTGCTATATGGCTCTCTTTGCGGTGGTACCCACAGGCATTTCGGGCTCCCGGCCCTGCCGCCTCTAAAAGCATCCTTTCGTCCTTTTGCAACGTCCAAGCGTAGTACTGCCATGGCTCTCTGCGGTTGTACGTTCTCCAGAATCGTCTTTTTCTAGTACGAACAAGGTACTGCTGTGCTCTCGGTGGTTGCGCGCGCGTGGGCGCACGCATTTAGGACCTGTGCCTGTCAAAAGGTCCGCTGGTAGCACAAAAGTGGTACTGCTATGGCTCTCTGCGGTTGCACGCGCAACATCTAGGGCCCCCACCCCGCCTCTAAAATCGTCCTTTCTAATACAAACGTAGTACTGCCGTGGCTCCCTGCGGGTGTACGTTCTCTAAAACCGTCCTTTTCTAGTACAAACGTGGTACTGCTGTGCTCTCGGTGGTTGTACGCACGCGCATTTAGGGCCGCCTCCCGCCCCTCCTCTTCAGAATCGTCCTTTTGCAATATAAACGGTACCTCGCGCTCGACAACCTCGCAAATATCGCGGGGACCGCACGCTCAAAAACCCCCAAATATCGTGGGGCTGAGCAAGCTGAGAGCCAAGCAACAAGCTGAGTAAGCTGAGATTTACCAGGCCCACGCTGAGATTGCCAAAGCCACGAGATTTACCAAGCAACAACGAGCTGAGTGACATGAGACTTGCCAAGCCGCAACAAGCTGTGTAAGCTGAGATTTACCAGCCAAGCTGCGTAAGCCGAGACTTACCCAGCCACAACAAGTTGACTGAGCTCAAACTTTCCAAGCCACAAAGCTGAGCAAGCTCAGATTGAACACGCCGCAAAAAGTAAGCTTACACCCACCAAGCCACAACAAGCTGAATAAGTTGATATTTACCTAGCCACAACAAGTTGAGTAGTTAGTAGTTGCCAAGTCACATGCTTACTCAAGCATAGATTGGCCACGCCAAACAACAACCTGGGTAAGCTGACAGTTGCCAAGCCACGACAAGCTGAGCAAGCTGACACTTCACAAGCCACAACAAGCTGAGATTTACCCCGAGCCACAACAAGAGTAAGCCCAGATGTACTAAGCTACAACAAGCTGAGCAAGCCGAGATTTACCAAGCCACAACAATGAGCTGAGTTTACCCCAAGCCAGAACAAGCTGAATCAGCTGAGATGTACCTACCTGCAGCAAGCTGAATACGCTCAGATTTGCCAAGTCACATGAGTACGCTGAGAATTTACCCCATGTCACTACAAGCTGAGTTAGCTGAGATTTGTCAAGCCACAATAAGCTGAGTAACTTGAGCTTGACCAAGCGTAACGAGATGATTTACCAAGCCACGCTGAGAAAGTTGTGATTTACCAAGCCACAACAAGCTGAGTAAGCTGAGATTTACCTACCTGAAACAAGCTGAATAAGCTCACACTTACCCAGCCACAACAAGCTGAGTAAGCTGAGACTTACCGTGCCACAACAAGTTGAGTAATCTGAGATTTGCCAAGCAACAACAAGCTGACAAAGCTGAGATTTTCCCAGCCACAACAAGTGAGACACACCAAGGCACAACAAGCTAAGCAAGCTCAGATTTGCCGAGTAAGCTTAGATTTCCCTATCTGCAACAAGCTGAGTTAGCTGAGATTTACCATGCCACAACAAGCTGAGGAAGCTGAGATTCACCAAGCTGCAACAAGCTGGGTATGCTCACATTAGCTGGCTAAGCTCAGGCGAACCAAGCCAACAACAAGCTGATTAAGCTGAACGAGTCGAGCAAGCTTAGATTTACCAAGCCGTTCTACTTTGTTTCCAACAGCCAAGCCTACTCTAAGCAAACAAGCCCGCTAACTCTCAAAGAACAAATGAGATTGTTTTGACATTGGTGGAAGCAACAGCGACGCACGTCAGCAAAGCTTATCAAAGCTTGAAGAAACAACCCCAGTGGAGGGTAGTTGAAAAGTTTCTAAAGCATAAAGCTTGCAAGTGCCTGCACGCATGCAAAGCTACGGCTTGGCTGTTGGTTCGAGCACAAGCAACATGCGGAAAACAAAGCAAAACAAACATGAGTGAACACATAAACCGTTCTACTTTGTTTCCAGCAGCCAAGCACAGACGCACGAGATTGTTTTGACACTGGTGGAAGCAACAGCGATCGCACGCAAGCCAAGTTTGTCAAAGCTTGAAACAACAACCCGTTGAAACTCTGCCAGATGTCAAAAACAAACCTGCCACAAAAAGCTGAGTAAGCTGAGAATTTCCAAGCCATAAAAGCTGAGTAAGCTGCGGTTTTCCAAAGCTATAGAAAGCTGAGTATGCTACTGAGACTTTCCAAACCATGGAAAGCTAGGTACAACAATCTGAGCAAGCTGAGATTTTCCAAGCCATTACAAACTGACTAAGTTGAGATTTTCCACGCCATAAACAGCTGATTCAGCTGGGATTTTCCAAGGCGCAAAAGCTGAGCAAGCTGAGATTTCCAAGCCATAAGAACCTGAGATTTTCCAAACCACAGAAAGCTGAGTAGGCAAAGATTTCCAAGCCATACAAAACCTGAGTAAGCTGAGATGTTCCAAGCCACAGAAAGCTGAATAAGCTGCCATTTGTCCAAGCCATAAAAGCTGAGCAAGCTGAGATTTTCCAAGCCACAAAAAGCTGGGTAAGCTAAGATTCCCAAGACACACAAAGCTGAGTAAGATAAGATTTTCCAAGCCACGAAAAACCTCAATAACTTAGCTGAATAGACTGAGATTCCCAGCCACAAAAGCTGGGTAAGCTGACATTTCTAAGCCAACAATCTGAGTAAGCTAAGATTTCCAAGCCAAAAAGCTGTGTAAGCTGAGATTTCCAGAAGCT